GGATATATCATATTAGAGTAACTCCAATGCCCGTTGATATTATTGGTTCCACAATTTATTCTTAAAATTGGCACTTTATACAAACCATGTGATGTGACTCTAAAAAAAATAAAAAAAAATGATCAAATGTACATACATGATACATCTCTCTCTCGACCTACGTTGTCTTAGCTATACACACACATAATGTTGACCCATACTCCCACCAAGCCGCAAAAGCAACCAATCAAAACTCGCCAGCTAGGACACAACCCCGCCATTTGAAATTCCCAACACTCATACATAAATGCACCCAGACAAAAAATTCCAGCTGTCTCCCACTAGGCATTTTCTTTTTTATCTTCAAAGAGAAAAAAAAGGCAGCTTACTCATCAATCGACGTCGCCACGTGGACGTCCTCGTCCCAAACCCTCGACCGCCGGTGGGACCGCCCCAGCTTCTCCGCGAGGGCGGCGAGGGTCTGCCACGTGGCGTCGCCCTCCAGCACGGCTTCGTGGAAGAGCAGGGCCCGCCTCACGCGCGCCTCCCAAAGGTTCCTCTGTATGTCAGTCAGGTTCGTGGCGGCCACGTGGGCGAGAACCTCGCCGAGCCGGTCCACGTCGGACTCCGCCACCGTCAGCGAAATATCCGGCCAGGGCACGGTGGTCGGGAAGGGCAGCCGGATGCCGTCGGCGATGATGACGGGGACGCAGCCCAGGGCCACAGACTCCACAACCCTTGGGCTCCATGGGGCCCACCCCAAAGGGCACAAGCAGAACTTTGACCTTACCATTTCCGACTGGTACCCGACGAACCTGTGCCGCCGCAGGTAGAATCTCCGGTCGCTCCCGTATTTCCGCCATATCGNCGACCATTAAAATCAAAATTGGGAATAACGATTAAAAAAATTCGATTTTGGATTTGAATATTTAATTAATTACTTGCTGTAGAAACGACCGCTGACATTCTTGGGGTGAACCTCCATTTTACCCCGGAAAAACGCGAAAATGTCCCGGCGGCCGGTGAGCGGCGACTTCTCCAAGGTAGCGCGTACGCTTTCCGGCGAGACGTACGGGGGTATCACGACATTCTCCACCTCCTGACACGGGTGCTTGTAATTCACGCCAAACGTTTGCAAAATTATCGAATTTCTCAAAAATTCCGGCACCCCATCAGCCACCGCCACATCCTCCTGCAACACGCCACCAAATCTATTTTATTCTCAAGAAATATTTTATTTTTCAAGAAAGGAGTCAGAACAATCCTCTAACCATGGTGTGAAAGCAAGAACCGAAATCATGAGACGCGACGAAAACATGGTCAGAGCCGAGGCTGCGGTTCCAGAACGGCAGCTGGGACGAGACGTGGCGGACGGCTGACGCCATAAGAGAGCGAGCATGGCCGATGGCCGGAAAGCCGTTGACCTTGCTGAAATTGCATGACACGTAGACGGGGACGAAGAAAAAGTCAGCCTCCCAAGGGTCAAACGTCCTCACATCACTCGTCAACAGCGCCCTATGGAAAGCAACTTCCGAAGCGAACAAATGCGTGCTACAACGCTCGTTCGTCAGCCAATCCTCGTTGTATTTCGATGGCAAATCGTACACGTACACTTTCATCCCTTTGAAATACTCTGGAAACCAAAAAAAAAAAAAGGAACTTTAACAACAACGAATAAAGATTGAATCTTTTCTGTACCCTTTTTTCCATAATATGAATAAAATTTATTTTAATTACCTTTGGGATTATTGGGAGAGACATAAGAGGATTCTTCAATGAGGGCACGGGATGCTTTTGAATGGGAAAAGGCGGTTCTTGGGAAAAAGGCAATACTGGGCTTATTACCATTATTATTATTTTGATTGCCATGGGTGATGATGAAAGACGAGAAGAAATAAAGAGAGGTTAAAAACCAGAGGACCCATTTGAAATATCTGCTGCAAAAAGTTTTATTTTCCGGGTGATTTTTGCTGTTCCTCGTGTTGTGCAAAAGCTTCATCTTCACATAGAATCCTCTGCTCCTCAGAGGTGTTCTGCTTTCGAGCATGTTTTCAACCCTCTTTCTCTCTCTCTCTCTCTCTCTTAAACCTTTCTTGCAGAGAGAAAGAGGTGCAATTAGTTGGTGTGGAGCTTTCTGTATTTGGTGTTCTTTTTCTTTGTGTTGTTTGTTCGGGTGAAGAAGTAGAGATTACGAAACAGGGGAGGAAGCTGAAAGGATTGTTGGGAGTTGGTTTTTGCTTGAAAAATAATTAATAATTTTAATCATGGAGTTTAATAATAAAATGAATAAAAAAAAAAGGAGGTCAGATATTGGTAATAATTTTGTGCAATCGATGAGGGGTGGGTTTATGTTTCCAAGAAAAAAAGAAAGAAAGAGAAAATATTTACTGTAATAATGATATTGCAGAGAGAGAGAGAGAGAGATGGGGCTATTGGTGTTGCAGTTGAATGGAGCAGATTAGACATCGGCTTTTGTCTCGTATATTTTTTTTTTTTTTCNAACGTGGTCTTTAAATGACCAAAATGCCCTCATATACTTTCTACATTATTGAGTCACTGCTTGCATTAGCTGTTTCTTGAAAAGTTACAGTAAAAGCCTTCATTAATTCAGCAACCACTTGCGTCCTTTAATTAAAACATGGAATAAGAGATCAAATCTGCACTCTATCAAACTCAAAATGAAGAACAGTATACTGCATTTTTTAAACATGTAATAACTTGGTTCACATTCACAGTATATTCATAATTTCCAATAGGCTATAGTTTGCTAATCATGATTAATTAAAATTAAAAATGCATACTCATCTCTTTTTTCTCCAAGCTCAAGTTATCAAACGTGTAACGTGGATTGGTTTTATTGTTCATTATTTAATGTGTTCATAACATAATATTTATGCGCTTGTATACATTTAAAATTGAGAAAATGTGATACAATTACACAAAAAATAATAATAATTAAGAATATAATATATCATATATTTATATCGATATATTATGTATGTGAACGGTAATAAATATTAGTTTTGTATCGATTTTACGGTTTCACTTTTCGTACATTGAAAACTTAAATAAATCTCAAAATCATTGGTAGAATGAGAAATTAATTCTAATGTTGAAATGTTGGGGAATTTGAGTTTATATAACTGAAAGATTATAGAATTGGCAAGCATTCTGTCTTTAACGGATGTTTAGACAAGCCAAACAAGGTATAATCATGCATTATGCATACTCGAATTAGATGGGTTCGTTGGAGGCGAGTAGAAAAAACAAAATACGATGCTGAGTTCGACAGAGCGCGTACGAGCCCCCGGCACGCAAATGCGAGCCAGACCCTATAGTGGGCGCGACCCAGACGCAACTGCTCATGCCAAAAAGGTTTCTACTCAGTTTTTTACGACCGGGCACTTCTCGAAATGTATCTTTCAATGCATGAACCCCTTGAAAATGCCCAGAACATCTATGAATGCCTCATGACTTCAAATTAATCATTTTTTAGTCAAAACTTTACTAAAAGCTATGGAATTGAAGAACATAAAATAATTCATGTTCATCTTGTGTTCATGATTATTTCATCATTCTTGAGAGTTCTAAACACGAGTAAATTTTCAAAATCTTGTGCATTTGAAGTGATACTATGCACAAGATAAAAGACCTTGTATTTTGGAGACGTTTGTAAAAAACCGTGGGCGTTAATCGGTGGATTATTCGTCTTACGGAGAATGTGTTTCACGTGTCTCGAATTTGATTATTTAATTAAATTCTTTGTTTGAGTTTGTTCGAGGATGGTGTTCGTTGTTTGATCGAGCCATTCGTCATCACTCTGTTTATGTTGTTATTTGTCATTCTCCAGAAGACAAGTATGCACACACACACCCAAAATTCGTAAGACGAAATTTGTGTATATTTTCTGAAGATGGTGAGTACAAGTGTCATGTACCCAAAACCAGGAAAGAGATTTATGGATAGCAACGTGGATAGCGGTCAAGAGGAGATCGAAGATGCATCGGAGTTTAAGATGAGGAAGAGAGATTTTGCAGAAGACGGCGAGGATAAGTGTAAAAATGGGGAAGAAGATGACAAAGGGGCGAGACTTACAAAGGGAATAATATGTATTGCTTAATGGGCTCAGTTAGTGGATTATTCTTATTGGGCTATTCTTATCATTATTAGTTCATTTACCTTTAGTATTTTTAGTTTATGTTTAATTGGTTATTGGCATGTGTGAAGCCCGTTCTTGTAACCAGTGGGACCCGTGTAAGGGTATTTAGAGGAGAATGGTGGAAAATGAACACATGTTTTGAGATGCATAACAAACTCTTTCTCTCTCTAATTTCTCTCTCCTCTCCTTCTCTCACTACTATCTCCTTCTACAAGCTATCTTCATCTAAATTACAGTAAATTAAAATATACAATCTACAAGGTTGTAACAATTGGTATCCAGAGCTACGTCCTGGCCATGGCTGAAGGAACACGTTTCAAGGATCTGCAAGAGACACAAAGAAAAACGGATCAATTTATTCAAACCGAAGTTCTAAAAAGGGAAGCAGCTGAAATGAAATTGCAGGAGCAAATTGCTAATGTGGGGACTGAGGTAAGAGCAGTAAGCACTGAAATGAAAGCAGCAAATACCGAAGTCCAGGAACAATTGCAGAGCATAAATGGTAAGTATGACAATTTAACAAACACCTTAGTTGCAATGCAACTTCAACTTCTGAATCTGGATAAAGGGAAAACACACATGGATGAACCCCTCATTGGCCCTTACCAGAATTCCAAAACTGAAGGGTCTTATAGACAACAATCAAGCTTCAGACCAAAACTACAGTTTGACCAACAGCAACACACAGAGGTCATAAACCCACTTCCATAAATTGAATTCCCACACTTTGATGGAACAAACCCCAGGTCATGGATACTGAAATGTAATGGATACTTCAAAATCATCCCTAATATTCCTGATGATCAAAAGGTAACCCTAGCTTTCATGCATCTAGAAGGTAAGGCAGCACAATGGTTCCAGAATTTCAGTATTAAGCATGGGGAAATTACCTGGGCTCAGTTTCTGGATGTCATCACAGCAAGGTTTGAAGACCTAAAAGAATCTAAGATCATAGGGGAATTTAACAAACTCAGGCACACAGGTTCCTACTTTGAATATGTGGAGAAATTTGAGGAGTTAAGGGCCTGCATGTTATGTATGAATCAAAAGTACACTGAAGAATACTTCATTGCCAGTTTCATCAGTGGCCTCTCTGAAGAATTACAGGCATTTATCCACATGTTTGAACCTGCAACTCTTCAACAGACCATTGACCTTGGCAAGAAACAGCTGGTCACCTTGGAAGCAATCACCAAAAAACTCAAAGGCTCAAGTAAAGGGTACCCAAACACCTACCAAGCACCCAAGAGAATGGAAGAAACCTACAACAACCCTGCTAAACCCACATCCTACCCCCAGAAAACTCCCATTAAACTCCTCACAGCTGCTGAAATGGCAGCTAGAAGGGAGAAAGGGTTGTGTTATAATTGTGATGAACAATTCACCTTTGGCCACAGATGTAAACATAGGTTACACTACATGATGATGACTGAGGAAGAAGAGCTCAATTACCTGCATACTCAACAGTGCTCAGAAGAGGAACCTGATGAGAAGTTAGAAGAGATTCAAATGTCCTTAAATTCTATTGCTGGGGAAGATGGTCTAACTACCATGAGGGTTTATGGGGATTCTAGAAATAAAAAACTGCACATACTACTAGACTCAGGTAGTACTTTGAGTTTCATTCAAGCTAGCATGGCTGAATCCTTGGGGTTAGCACTGAAATCAACCAAACCTATCATGGTTAGGGTAGCCAATGGACAAAGAATGCTCAGTAACCAAGTGGTGTAAGGGTTTCAATGGAAGATACAAGGACACACTTTTACCTACTCCTTAAGAGTCCTAGATGATGTGGGCTGTGATATGATCCTAGGGGGTGACTGGCTTAAGAGTTGCACTCCCATTGAGCTTGACTATGAATGGATGAGATTCATAGTGACACTCATAGGGAAGAGAGTAAAAATTCAGGCCCTCAAATCTGAGGCCATTTGCAAAGTCATTACTGGACCTACCCTTTACAAATTAGTACATGAAAAGGCATGCAATGGGATTGAGGAAGTCTATTAGGTATCCATGTGTAAACCTAATCACCAGGTTAAATCTCAAGAGGTAGATTCCCTACTGCTGGAATTTGAAGATATATTTCAAGAGCCAAAGGGTTTGCCCCCAAGCAGGGGCATTGAACATCAAATTACATTAAAACCCAACAGCATACCCAAGCATCAATTTCCCTACAGATCCTCACACAGTCACAAAGGAGAAATAGAAAAAATAGTGCAAGAAATGTGGGATGCTGGCATAATTCAAGACAGCAAGAGCCCATTTGCTTCACCAGTCATCTTGGTCAAGAAGAAGGACTCTACCTGAAGACTATGTGTTGATTACAGGTATCTTATTGGGCTTACTGTGAAGCATGATTACCCAATACCAGTAATTGATGAACTGCTTGATGAGTTACAAGGAGCTAAGTATTTTTCTAAGGTGGATCTGAGGTCAGGGTATTTTCAGATTCTGATGGACAAGGACCATAGATACCTCACTGCATTCAGAACTCACAATGGACATTATGAGTTCTTGGTCATGCCCTTTGGGCTTTATAATGCTCCAGCAACTTTTCAGTCTCTAATGAATAAAATTTTCAGAGATCTATTGAGGAAAAATGTTTTAGTGTTCTTTGATGACATCCTCATTTACAGTAAGACCTGGGATGATCATTTAAGGCATCTGAAGGAGGTTCTACTGATTCTAAGGGAAAACAAACTTTATGCAAAAAAGAGCAAGTGTCAGTTTGCTCAAGAGAAGATTGAGTACCTGGGTCACATCATTACTCATCAAGGAGTGTCAACAGACCCTCAAAAAATTGACAGCATGGTTAAGTGGCCAACACCTGCTACTGTTAAGCAACTAAGGGGATTTCTTGGTCTTACTGGCTACTACAGGAAGTTTATTAAAGGGTATGGAATGATTAGTAGGCCCCTCAC